GTTCGGGTGCCTGCTGCCTCCCCCGCCCCATGGGCAGCCTCAGCTCACCCTGCTGTCCTGGCCCTGCCCTCACTGAGTCCTGGGACAGTGTCCTGGCGTCACATCAGTATCCTGGTGTCCCTTGGCGCCTCTCTATCACCTGTCCCAAACTGACCTCAGCGTCTTCCCAGGTGAGTCCTGGTCCTCTTACAGGGGTGCCCCCCCCCCCATTGCTGGCACCGAAGGACCTGGACTTGCTAACCCTGAGCCCTCCAACACCCACACTGGTGCCACTGCCTCTGTTTGTTTGCTTTTTCCAGCACTGGGGATGGAACCCAGGGCCTTCGCACTGAGCTACGTCCTCAGTCCTTTTTATTTTTTATTTTGAGACAGGGTCTCACTAAGTTGCCCTGAGTTTGAACTGAGTTTGAACTTTTAATCCTCCTGCCTCAGCCTCCTGAGTAGCTGGGATGACAGGTTGTATCATTCTTTTTGTATGTGTGACAGCGTCTTGCTGTATAGCCCAGGCTGGCTTTGAACTCACAGGCATCCTCCTGCCTCAGCCTCCTGAGTGCTGGGATTAAGCAGTGTGCAGCACCATGGCCAACCAGCGACTGCCTCTTAACCATCTTGTCTGTGCACCCCCGACTCTGGCCTCTACCTCCTGCAGTGCCCGGGCACCCCTGCCCCACACTACCACCATCTGCATGCAGCCCCCGGAGGAGGCTCTTTCTGAGGCAGAAACCGCCTGTGTGCCCGCCCTGCCCAGAGCCTGCCATGGTTGCCCAGGACCCTCAGGAGAAGACCCGGGCTGAACCTGCTTCCCCTGGCTTGGTTTTGCATTTCCTCCTCCAGGATCCCTCCGGGGCTGCCCCCGGCTCTCCTATCCCCGCCCTCCCACCCTGTGCTCTCCCCGGGGTGGGTCTGCCCCGGCCCCCTCAGTGTGTGACCCCCTAAGAGGGCAGGGCCAGGCTGTGCCCACTGTCCCCAGTGCCAGGCAGCTCATGGCAGGGGCTCAGAGGGTGTTTGTGGAACCAGACACCCGGTGAGCCTGCTGGAGCCAGCGGGGTCCCGAGGGAGGCCGGGTTTCTGTTTGACAGGCTGGGCTGGGAGAGGCTTGGAGCAGAGCCGGGCTTTGTCCCCCCGGCGTCACATGCCCGGTACTGTCTGTGCCCTTACCCTGCCCACTGCGCCATCCTCACCTCCTACTGCTCCCTACCACTGGTCCCTGGCCCGGTGGGAGGAGCGGTTTCTGAAATCTTTTTTGTCCCCCCAGTACTGGTGACCAAATAATCCAGGGCCTTTGCACTGAGCTGCCTCTTCTCCTCAGCCTGTTTTAATTGTATTATTTTGAGACAAGGTCTCCCTGTGCAGCCCAGGCTGGTCTCAAACTCATGGCAGTCTTCCTGTCTCAGCCTCCCAGGGCTGCAGTTGCAGGAGTTTTCTGGCACATTTATCGAGCACCTTCTGTGTGCTGGCTCTGTTCCTGGTGCTGGGGTTCCAGCTACAAACAGGAGAGACCCAGAGCTGATCTTCTGGCTGGGGAGATGTGAAGAGGCAGGAAGACACAAGGACATGTGATAGTGCATTGGGCAGCGATGATGCTGTGGACAAACGTAAAGCAGGGAGAGAGACGGAGGTGGCTGGGATCCTCCCTGTGGAAGATCATCCAGTGTAGGAGGCCACACAGGAGTAGACCCAAGGTGAGAGAGGCAGGCTGAGGTCTGGGGAAAGAACCGTGCAGACTCAGCAACAGCAGGTTCAAAGGCCCTGGGGCAGGAGAATGTTGTGGAATGTGAAGAAGGACAAGAGGAGTTGGGTGAGGCTAGACCTGAGTAGTGAGTGTAGAGAGGGTACTGAGGGGCTCCCACAAGGCCTCCCAGGTCACCCAGAGGACTCTGGCTATTTTTACTCTGGTGTGGGAGCCCCTGGGAGGTTTCTGAAGAGATGACAGATGTGAAGTAATTTAGGTCTTTATTTATTTATTCATTTATTTTTTTAATTATTTATTTGTCTTTTTGAGACAGGCTCTCGCTGTGCAGTTCAGGCTGGCCTTGAGCTCACTTTGTTGCATCGATCCTCCTGCCTCAGCCTCCCAAGTTCTGGGATTACAGGAGCGCACCACCATGCCTGGCTATTCATTTATTTATTTTTTGGTTTTTTATTGTATTTTATTTTACTTTTTGAGCCAAGGTCTCACTATGTAGTTCAGGCTGGTGTTGAACTCGAAGTGATCCTCCTGCCTCAGCCTCCTGAATGCTGGGATTACAGGGATGAGCCACCATGACTGACTCTTGGCAGGGGTTTTGATAGGACCTGGCTGCACTGGAGAGGAAGCTGGAGCCAGGGAGGGGCAGCTTCGGTGGCATGGCTATCTTGTCCCTGATGGTCACTGCCAGCCTGTAGCTTTTCCAAACTGAAATCAGCTGTGAATGAAAAATGCACACCAGATATTGAAGACAGTGCAACCAAAGCAAGGTGAAATAGCTCATTCCGGCATTGATTTCATGTTGAAATGGTAGCATTTTGCTTGTATTGAGTTAAATCGGTTCATTTCACCTGTTTCGGTTCATTTCACCTTACTTTTTCCTCATGTGATACCAGAAAGTTGAAAATTGGCTCTGGACCGGGGAAATGGTCCGCGTGTAGATATATTTCACTGATTTCAATTTTTCTTTTTCTTTTCTCTGAAGTGGAGTCCCCCTAAATTGCCTAGGCTGGGCTCGAACTTGTGACCCTCCTGCCTCAGCCCTCCGAGTATCAGGGATTAAATGCATGTGCCACTGTGCTGGCCCGTGACTTTTCTTTAGTACTGGGGGTCAAACTCAGAACCTTTGCACTGAGCTACATCCCCAGCCCTTTTTCATTTCTGAGACAAGGTCTGCTAAGTCACTAAATTGTTCATGCTGGATTTGAGCTTGTGATCCCCCTGCCTCAGCCTCCCGAGTGCTGGGATTACAGGCGTGCGGCACCGTGCCTGGCTGTTCGTGATTTTTTTTTGGTACCTTCTTGGCTTTTCCTGCCACCTGATCCAGCTCCACTTGCCCCTAGCCCATTTGCAGGGGAGGGAACCAAGGCTCTGGGCCCCCACCTGGGGAGTCACAGCCATGGTTTCTCGGCACAGCCATCCGGGGACGCAGTGGCTGTGTGCCCTTGTTCTGAGTGACCTCGTTCCGTCCTCCAGCCCCGGCCTTCTTATCTCCCTGGCTGAGTCACTCCTCCCTGGGGAGCCCAAGGCCGCCGTCCCCACTGTCCCAGTCATCCCTCTGTGCCATTGGCCCTGCCTGCTGGGGCAGCTAGGCTAATGGCTTGGGTGGCACTGTCAAGGTCTGACCTGAGGGTGTGGCTGCTGGGGCACCTGGCAGATTGGGGTGGTCCTGGGGAGCCCGGAGCAGAAGGGACCTGCGTTCCTAATCCTGGCCCTGGAAAGAGCTGGAGGGAGGAGGTAGGGGAGAGCTTTGCCCGTCCCAGCCCGGCCCTCCTTCACCTGGGGTTTTCCGAGTCAATCATTCAGCAAACATTTATTGAGCTGCGACTGGGTGCCAAGCTGTGTCGGGGACACGGACCGCAGACATAGTGCTTCCCCCGGGGGGCTAAGTCCTACGCGGGAGACGGGCACCAATACAACGTGAGATAGCAGCGCAGTCCGAAGGAGAAGCACCTTCAGAAAAGGCGCGCGACGGGGCAGCAGGACCAGGAAGAGGGCTGCTCCTTCGGGGAGGGAGGCCAGGGCCTTTCTGAAGGGGCTGAGCCTGGGTGAGGTGACACGGAGCCTCCGGATGGATGTGTGGGGCAGAGGGGTCGTGGCCAAGGCCTCGAGGCAGGAGGGTTTTTGGTGAGTGCAAGAGAGGCTGTGCAGGCTGGTCTTAAAATCACTAGGTAGCCCAGGCTGGCCTCAAACTCACAGTGATCCTCCTGCCTCAGCCTCCTGAGTGCTGGGATTACAGGCGTGCACCACCACGCCTGGCTGTTGACAGGCCCTTGCCCTTGGTCTGAGTCCCGGGGATGGGCGGCCCCGCGTGGGTTCGGGCCGAGGGGAAGGTCCGGGCCCGGGGTGAGGGGCCCCAGGGGGCGGGGCTGTTGCAGAGGTTGTGGGGGGGCAGGAAGTGAAGGGTGACCTGGGGGCTGTGGAGGCGGCAGACAGCCGGGTTCTCTGGGCACTGCAAGCCCGTGGGCTGGGACCTGGCTTGGTCTCCTCCTCCCGGCTGCATTTATCCTAGCAGGAAAATGGGAGGCAGTTAAAACAACTCACACAAAATATTTTTTTTTAATTATGGGAAATGTCACACACTCATCATGTGTGGAGAGAGAAAACTGGCTCCCCATCCCAGCTCAGGCCAGTCTTGCCTGCTGCCCTCTCTGGGTGTACAGTCACCCCTGAGGTACAGTGGTCCCTGGGTGGCCAGAGGGCATCTGTCTAGGACCCTTCAGATGCTGAAATCCCCGGATGTTCGCGGCCCTTATATAAATGGCGGCTGTGCGGAACCGTGCCCCCCCCCCCCCCCCCAATACTTCAGCTCATTCCTAGGTGACTAATGACACCTAATACATGCCCTCGCTGTGTCCACAGTGGCTCTGCTGCATTGTTCAGGGAACAATGACAAGGACAAATGTTTCTACATATTCAGCACAGGCCCAACCTTTTTTGCCAAGTATTTCTGACCCCTGCTTGGCCCAGTGGATGAGGTATTGGAAAGCAAATCCCAGCCACTGGACATTTTTTATCCATGGCGATTTCTGCCTCTATCCCTAAAAGATCTGGACTTGTTTTTAAAAGCGTACTAGGGTCAGCCACAGTGGTGCATGCTTATAATCACAGCTGCTTGGGAGGCTGAGGCAGGGGGGTCATGGGTTTCAGGCCAGCCTGGGCAACCTAGTGAGACCCTGTCTCAAAATTTTAAAAAGGGCTGGAAGTGTAGCTCAGTGGTAGGGCTCCCCTAGCATTATAAGGTCCTGGGTTCTATCCCTAGTGCCAAAGAAACAAACCAAGCACCTTCACCAGACCATTATTTCATGTAAAAAGTGAAAATAAAGCCAATATGCGTGCAGTGTCTTCCAATGCCCAGTCAGTGACTGGATTTCCACTTGCCTCAGAAATGGCAGGGAAAGGCCAGGAATTTAGCTCAGTGAAATATGCGCCTGCCTGGCAAGGGCAAGGTCCTGAGTTCAATTCCCAATACCAAAAAAAAAAAAAAAGAAAGGAAATGGCAGGAAGAGCTGATTTTTTCTTCCTTCCTTTCTTTCTCTCTCTTTCTGTCTTTCTTTCTAAGATAGGATCTTGCTTTGTAGTTCAGACTGAACTTGAATTCACTATGTAGCTCAAGCTGGCTTCAAACTCACAGTGACCCTCCTGCCTCAGCCTCCTGTGTGCTAGGAGTACAGGCGTGCACCACCACACTTGGCTAAATTTTCTTTTTCCCTTTAGTGCTGGGGGAGAACCCAGGGCCTCACAATGCCATGCTCTGGCTAGAGACCCCCAGCTCAGGCTAGACACGCAGCGCAGGCTCAGCCACACTGCACCCTCGGTCCTCACCAGGGATGCAAACACCGCCAGGGAGGCTGGGGAGGCTGCACGCTGGCCGCCTCTGCCTGCTGTTTACACTGGCTGGTCGCCTGACACTGGGCTGCACACGCCCTTTGGCACACAAAGGAGCTGAATTCGGAAGGGAAGGGTTTTCCCTATGAATCATAGTGACTCTCGGTCACGCCTGGCCCCTTCCTTCCCACCACCGCTTCCTCATTTTCCAGCACAGGGCCGCAGCAGGGGAACCCGGGAGCCCTGAGACCCGTGGTGTTCCGGGAGGGTGCTCCGGAAGCGGGGACCCCGGGGGCAGACCTTGGGCGTCACGGCCTGGGGTCTGGGGGACTCTGTTCCAGCCCGGGACACCGGTCTCCCGCTGACTGGGCCAGATGCCTGAAATCCCCCTCCGGACCCCTGTAGGCCAGAACTGCCCTCCCCACACCCCAGCACAGAAGGCAGACCCCTGTGCGTGGGCCTGGATGGACCCCAACATCTGAGTGAAGTGGACAGAACAGAATAGTTTGGGTCCTGTTCCCAGCTTGTCCACTGAGACCCCGTGCGACCTCTCCTTCCTTTCTTGAGACAAGGTCTTGCTTTGTAGCTGGCCTTGAACTCACAGTCCTCCTGCCTCAGCCTCCCTAAACACTGGGATTACAGGCATGCATCCCCCCAACTAGTGACCTCACCTGTCTTTGTCTCGGTTGCCTCATCTGTCAAATGGGGCTCCTCCCAGTATTTTCCCCACAGGACTACCGTGAACTTCCAGGACATGGTGGGTAGTCAGTGAGCGGTACCATGTTTCTCAGCATATGGGGTGTCATGGTATCCCCCGCAGGCTGTAAGTTCTCTGAGGAGGGCTGCTCTGCCTTGTCTTGGTGTCTCCAGCCCTCTGGTTTATGTGACAGAGCTTGGTGTGCAGTAGCTGCTCAATAAACACGGCCAGTGACTAAAGGGAGGCTACCCAGCAGATGAGGCAGAGCAGGAAGAAGGGAGGGTGGCATGGGGGTCAGAGCGACAGAGGGTGTAGGGGCCTGGAACTGAGGTGCTGTTGTTCATTCCCGTGGACTGCAGACCACGGTGGGGGTGGGTGCTGAAGGTGAGGCCCCAGAAACCTGGCCTTCAGGGTGTGCAAGCTGCGGTGAGGAGCCTGGTTTCTCAGGGCACTGGGGAGCCATGGAGGGTTCTGAGCGGAGAGAGGCAGGTTGAGTCTGGGCTCTAGAAAGATCCCTTGGGCCTGGTGCTGAGGTGGGAGAGGGAGAGAGACAGGCCTGGGGCTGAGGCAGGGAGCAGACCTGGCCCAAGGCTGGGTGCAGGGACGGGAAGTCAGATTCACCAGGCCCCGCTGTGCCTGCAGCGCAGAGGGTGGGTGAGGGAGGTCCCCGTGCGCGCACCGTGGGTAAGCCGAGAGGCTGGGGCGGGGAACCGGGAGGGACCCTGCAAGGCGGCCTGTCTCCGCGCTAGGCGCTCCTCTGGCGCCCCCTGCTGGCCAGCGCGACTCCAGCCGGCTACCCTACGAGCGCCAACGCTGACAGTGATCAGCGGTGACATTCCTGGGGTGACAACGCGTCGGGGGCCGCACAGCACACTGTCCCCTCTCCCCGGCCCGGGCCTCCAGCTGCCCTCTCCCTCCAGCAGGCGCTGAACTCAAGACTGGGCTCTCAGACCCCTCCTTCCTCCCCTGCAGGCAGGCCGGGCCGATTGGTCTCTCCCGACTTCCTTCCTTCTCTCCTTTATTTTATTTTATCTTATTATTATTATTATTATTATTATTATTATTATTTTTTTTTTTTGAGACAGGGTCTCAATATGTAGTCCAGGCTGGCCTTTAACTTGCTATGTAGCCCAGGCTGGCCTCCAATTTGTGGCAATCCTCCTGCCTCAGCCTTCTGTGTGCTGGGATGATGTGGCCGCCACCACGCTCGGCTTTGGAAGTGTAAACCTGGATCATTTCATCCACTGATTTAAAGTGTGAGTGTAGTGGCTTTCAGTGAATTCACAGAGTTGTGCAACCATCTCTGCAATCAGTTGAGAACTTTGTCATCAGCCAAATAGAAAGCCCACTGCCATGAACAGTCTCCCCTCCGTGCCCCTCCCAGCCCCACTGCCCTGCTTTCTCTATGAACTCGCCTCCTGAGGACATTTCATAGACACGGGTCGTGGGATGTGTGGCTCCTGTAGCTGCTTGTGAGTTTAGCACGATGTCTCCAAACTTCTTCGGTGCTGTGGCGTGTGTCAAGTTTTGCTCCCTTCTGGGGCTGAGTATCGTTCCTCTGCGTATTACCACAGTTTCCCCAGCACTCTGGGAGGCTGAGGCAGGAGGACCGCAAGTTTGATCCCAGCCTGGGCAACTCAGTGACCTAGTGAGGCCCTGTCTCAAAATAAAAACCAAAAAGGTCTGTGAGTGGCTCTGTGTGAAGGCCCTGGCTTCAATGCCCTGTACCAAACCCAGCCACGTTTTGTTTATACATCCATCTGCTGCTGGATGCTTGGATTGTGTCTACTCTTGGGTACTTGTGATGGCACTGCCGTGACCTTTTTTTTTTTTTTTTTTTGGTCTTTTTGAGACAGAGTCTTGCTACGCAGTTCAGGCTGGCCTGGAGCTCAGTTTGTAGCCCAGGCTGGTCTTGAACTCACAATGATCCTCCTGCCTCAGCCTCCCGAGTGCTGGGATTACAGGAGTGCGCCACCATGCCCGGCGCCGTGACCATTTGTGAGCGAGACCCTCAGTGTCCCCAGCACCTCCTTCGTTCACCCCGGGGTGTAAGATTCCAGGCTGGTCGCTGGTCTGCGGTCTGCCCTGCAGGAAGGTCAGCTCCGCCCCCATCTCTGCCGCCGTGGAACAGTGCTGTTTTCTTCCAAATATCCTCTCATTCTTGTGTACCCGGCCGCTCCAGTCCACTGTCTGCTGCATGAGTAAAGGGTCAGGGAGTGGACAGACGGCCCTACGCTTCTCCGGAAAGGAGTGCAGTTCCCTGGGTTTGTGTTCCAATTCTGATGGTTTAGTCACTGAGCAGCTTGTACCACCCTCCAGAGCGCCCTCTTCTGGAGCACACGGTAGGCTCACACTTGCCCCGCCCCCCAGGCATTAGTTGTACCATGTGACTTGCTCTGACCAATGAAATGTAACTGGCAGTGAGGCTCAGACAACTGAGGGTTGAAGGTGCTGCCATCTTGGAGGTGGTAAGAATTAGAATTTAAAGGAGCGGGCTATGACAGAATTCCAAAATAACAGTAGTTTGTCTCTCTCACTTGGCTCTGCTTTCCCACAGGGTGTTGCCCTCAGCCACAGGACCCAGTGTGGCTCCTACTACCCCGTGTGTTCTGCAGCTCCAGGGAAAGGGAAACAGGGAGATGACAGAGCCCCCCCGCCCCCGAATGAAAGATAGGACCTATGACCTGCTTGTATATCTACTGCTTACACCCCATTGGCTGCAGTTAGTCACATGACTACACATAGCTGCAAGGACTCCTGGGAAATGTGGTTTTTATGTTTATGTTATAGTAGGCAGCCGTATGCTTGGTTCCAAACTTCAAGGAAAAGGAGAGAATGGATATCTAGGCTTGATACGCAGTGGCTGGAATAGAAAAAAGGAGGCATGTGAGTTTTTTGTTCTTGGCTCAGAGTGAACAGAGTCTGGGTCTCTGACCCCTGGTTGACCATCTTAGTTAGAAGGTCCAAGGGGCAGGCACCAGCTGTTTGAAAGGTTGGAGATGGAGAAGTCCCTCACTCGGGGGCATCTACCTGCTGTGTCAGCCTGAGCTGTGACTTCCCCTCCTGCGAATTCTTCCTCATCCTCTATATTATTTTCTTACGGCTGCTGAAACAATGTGCCACAAACTAAGTGGTTAAAAACAACACACATTTATTATCTTACACCTCAGGTGGTCCAGAATCTAAGGTGATCTCGCTGAGCATGGTGGAGCACACCCGCAATCCCAGTACTCGGGAGGCTGAGGCAGGAGGGTTGCCAAGATTTTGAGGCCAGCCTGAGGTACATAGCCTGGGCTGCATGGACCCTGTCTCAAAACAAAAACAAACTAGAGTGGGTCTCTCTGGTATATAGTGAAGGTGTCGGCAGGGCAGGGAGTATCCTGGAAGTATGGGGAGAGAAGCCATATTCTTGCCTCTTCTGCTTCTAGAGGGCCCTTAGTCATCACAGCCCGCAAAGGCTGATGGGAACTGCCTCACATGGCACCACGCTGACTCCGGGGTGTGGCCTGGCCTGTGGCCCCTCACCCGCCTTGAAGGTATGTCCTGCCAGGCTGTGCTCCTGTTGTGGCTACAGCTCCTTCCGGCCCTGACTCTCTCCTTGTCCCTCTCTGAAGGGGCCTGTGATGACATATGGGGCCGCCTGGGCAGTTCAGTATCCCCACCCCATCTCCAGACCCTGAGTGTGAGCACAGCTGCACTCTTTTGTCATCTGAGGGGACGTTCACGTGTGATTAGGGTGTGGACAGCTTTGAGTGACCATTATTTGGTTACACAATCTCTTCTAACCCCACAGCACCCCATTTTTCAGTACTGGGGATTGAACCCAGGGCCTTCCCACTGAGCTACATTCTCAGCTTTTAAATTTTGAGACAAGGTTTCTCCAAATTGCCAATTTCGATCCTCCTGCCTCAGCCTCCTCCCAGGTGCTGGGATTACAGGTTTACAGCCGACAGGGCCCTGCACAGTCTGCCCCCTCCCATCTCTGTGACTTCATTTCCCATCCTTTTCCCTTTCGCCTCTCTGCCTCCACCACACTGCCCTCCTTGCTGCCCTCTGAACGTGCTAGGCTCAGCCCTGCCTCAGGGGCTACGAGCCTGCCATTTCCTCTGGCTGGGATGCTCTCCCTCTGGAATCCCCTGGGACCCTCTTTCCCTCCTTCAGATTTCTGCTTATTTGTCACCTTGTCGGTGAGGCCGTCTCTGCTCTCTCTACTTCCCATGTCCAGGTCCTCCTTCTCTATTTTCCCTGGTGTGATTGTCAGGTAGTTATTTCATTTCTGGATTCTGTCCCCTGCGCCAGGGTTCCTCCAGGAGGGGAGGAATCTGTTGTGTTTCCTGCCAGAGCTTCGAGGGCCCGAGGGTGCCTGCACACAGGGAGGGCTCGTTTGCTGCTGGGTGAATGAACGAATCAAAGGGTGATAGGCTGAGCCCACACTTGGGAGGGGAGCAGGCTGCCGCCCTGAGAGGTCGGGGTGGGCGGGGTGGCGACACCTAGAAGTTGGCAGCAGATTCCGTGGTGGGGGCCACCCGAGGTCCCCAGGTATCCGGATCGGGCTGTGGCTTCTGCAAGGCCGAGTGAGGAGCTGGGCCCGTCACTGCCCTGTCCCCTCGGCACCCTGGCCCTTGCGGTGCTGGCATGTGGCTGAGTCTACCTCACCGGATCCTGACGGCCTTGTCCTGCGGGGTCTTTTCTGCAGTGTGCGCCTCCAACCCAGGACGGCCCGGCTCCCTGAGCCCTCAGGAGGACGTGGGCACCAGCTGGCAGTAAGGGGCAGGGTCGGGGTGCAGCAGGTCCTGGGGGCGGAGACAGAGATTAGGGTTGGGGGAGGAGGGGAGGAATGGGCCCCCGAGACACGGACTGCGGTGCCCCGGCCTGCTGTGTGACCCCGCACCCCCTGCCCTCTCTGGGCCTTGCTTCTCCTGTGAATCCAAGGCCCAGACGCACAAAGGTGGAAACTGCAGGCCTCAGGGAGGGGACTTTCCAGGGTGTTCCCCGGAAGCGGGGCCCTTCCAGCTTGGGGGGCAGTGGGGACATGCGAGGACAGCCCTCCTGTCTTTCCTCTCCACCCCTTCCCTGGGGTCCCGGGTCCCCAAGTCCCCTCCACACCTGGTAGTGGTGACTCTCCGGCTCTGGCTGCGGCCGCGGGGGCACGGCGGGGGGCTGCAAGGGAGGGGTGTGGCTGAACCAAGCACCTGCCTGCCTCTGCCCTTTCGTGGTTTTACTTTTCTTTTTTCCTTTTTGGTGCTGGGCATGGATCCCAGGGCCCTTGTTCTGAGCCACACCTCCAGCCCCCCCCTTTTTTTGGTATTGGGAATCGAACTCATGACCTCAGGCTTGCCAGGCAAGTGCTTATGCCGCTGAGCTACATCCCTGCCGCCTCCTCCAACAGCCCTTTTAAATTTTTATTCTGCGAGGGGGTCTTGCTAAGTCACTAAGTTACCCAGGCAGGCGTCAGACTTGTGACCCTCCTGCCTCAGCCTCTTGAATAGCTGGGATCGCAGGTGTTCACCACACCTGCCCAGCTGCCCGCCAGCCTTTGACCTCAGGTGTTAGCAGGCCTGGATCCACAGCCCCCACTGCTCTTCTTTCCCCCACTGTGAGGTCCTTGAGCAAAGGAAGTTGCCTCACTGCCTGCCACTGTCCCCCTTTGACAAGGGCACAAAGCTCACCTTCCCTGGGAGCTGAGCTCAGGGGCCCAGTCACCCCTGAACGCTCAGCTCAGCCTCCCCGGCCAGACCTGGGCTCTCAGCTCTTGGCCTTTGCTTGGTAACCTTCTCTTTTCATGTGATTTGAGCAACTCACTTAATGTCCCCCCCACCGTCCCGTGCCGATGCCCCCACTATACGGGGAATCCACCCAGTGCAGAAAGCGGCTGTGTGAGAGAGAGAAATCCACCTCCCAGCGGCGCTGTGGCCGTGTCCTTTCAGACTCTTTCTTAGGGTTTTTAAAATGGTGAGAGAGAGAGGGAGAGGGTGAGACAGACAGACAGACAGACGGAGACATGGTTTCCAAGCCAGGTGCCAAGGCACCCCAGGGTGCCTCCACTGTTGGAGGCTGGCTTTAGGGAAGAGGGTGGTGATGCGACTCACCGTGGCTGAGTTCATGGGCCCCACATCCCTGAGGGGGGACCCCAGGGGGACGGGAGAGGGCATCGCTTCATAGATGTTGTCACCTGCAGGTGACAGGGGGAAGGAGCGGCTAGCAGGAGGCATGTGACAGTCCCCCGTTCATGCCCTCGGGCCCTCCTCCTGCGGGGCGTGTGCTGGGGACACAGAGGTGACCAGGACAGCCCCGGCCCTCTGGGGCTCCCAGGCCACTGCGACAGGGACAGTGAGAGCCCAGTGTTCAGGGTTGGGGGCCAGCCCGGGGGCCCGGGAAGAGGGGAACCTCAAGGCGGGGGAGCGGGGAGAGCCGCGCAGAGGTGAGAGGCCTGGCGGGGAGGGAGCTGCGGGCCGGGCTCTGGGAACTGTGCGTGGCCTGGGTCACACCGTACACAGGGTTTCTTGGAGGAGGAGAAAGTCGCGTGCAAGACAGGAGGCCGGGAAAGGCGGTGAGGGTGGTTTGTGAAGGGCCCTGAGCCCCACGCTCAGGAGGCTGGACTCTGGCCACGGCACAGGGGACCCATGGAGGGCGTCGGAGCAGAGGACCAGGGGACCCTGGGCTGGCTGTGGCCTGTGCGGTGGACAGGATCCCCCACATGATGGGGGAGGACAGGCCGGTTTGGGGAGGGCACGGCTGTGCTGGGCTGGATGCTAAGGCACCCGCGAGGTCAGCCTGGGGCAGGGGATGGGAGCCCCGACGGGGATGGAGAACCCTGGGGAGGGCTGGGTGATGAGACCCAGGCTCCTGCTTACCAGTGTCAGGATGGGGGCTCAGCTCTGGCTTCCCTGTGGTCGTCACTCTGGGGGCGCACGGGAGGAGCCACATCAGGATAATCAGATAGTGGGACCAGAGGGAGGCTGGGGGGGTGC